TTTTATCACAGTAGCTTTGTAGTATAGTTTCAAGTTGGGGATTATGATACCCCCAGCCAAGACATGCTCTTTCTAAAAAATAATATATATCACATTGTCCTACAGGCCTTAAAGACTGGAGGTACTTTCTAATATATAACCTAAATCTCTAGGTTTTTGGGGGGGCTGTTTCCTCTCAGACTGTTTTTGATGGGATGTCAAGTACCCCCACACATAAACTCCTGTTGTTCATTCAAGTTAAGTCTTTCTGAAAAATAATTGTATTTCCTTCCAAGGTTTTTCCACAGTAATCCAAAGCTTTAAAGGTGTAATCATTAAATAGATTAACCATGAAGATGTCAATTAGGTACACATAGACAAGGTACAAAAGTAATGAAAAATATTAATTATAGATGTAAATTTTCAGTTAATAAGGAATTCTATATTACCAGGTTAGGAAGTCCAATCATCATGAAGGTATTTCTAGGCCAAATGTGCAGATAATTAGGTTCCATGGCAAACTACAGGGGAGAAAAAGCATATTTATGTTTGATTAGTGCATTAATATAGCACTTCTATAAAACCAACTCTATATTATTCCCACAGTGATTTAAACCAGTATCATACATGTGATAGGATATCTATTGTAACAACTAAAAGTTGTCTTAGAATGATTTGTGTTCTATCTTTATAAGCTTATCTTTAGGTGATTTTTGATACCAAGTGTTAATTCAAGATTTGAGAACATATTATAAGATGTTCTCTTTTTCTCTCTCCACATGCACACACATATATATACATATACATACCTATACACATATACATGTATATAATAAATAGATATGAAATGTGGTATATATGTGGGAAGCTGTATATGTGTATGTATATATAAGTAATATCTTTGCCTTATTTGGGTACTTTTTATGTTGGACAGAATAATTTTATGTTTTTCACCAAGCAAACAAAATTTTACAAACAAACTCAAAAATAAAAGAATTATTTTTAGTTACTCCTCTACAATGCCTGAAATGATAATCTGAATAAATGTTGATTGCTTGGGTAGATCAATTGACCCAAATAAATATATCTATTATATATTAGAAATAATTTCATTTATAATTGCATGACATTTATTTATAAAATATGTGGTCTTTTTTACAACTATTTCAAATTTGTATTTTTCTACAATATTTAGACAGGACCTCTCATATGTACTTTACATATTAAGAGAAGAGCATTGTCTCCCAGCCAGCATTTTCATGTTGAAATGTAGTTACTACATCTTAGGAGAAGGGACGGGTGTCTACCTTTTTTTAGTCCCAGGGCCTCAAAGAAAACCCAACACACAGACATAGACATGAATAAGTGCATAACTCTTTGACCTCAAAGATCCTACAATGTGGAATAGGCCAGATGGATACATGTGAAAAACCAACTTCTTTTTAACAACAATGTAAGTGGTGGAAAGTCAGTAAATGGTTTGATGTCAAATTAGAAGTACAGAAAATAAAAGGTTGACAAGTAAGTTCTTGTGGGGCTGGGGTAGTTAAAACAAAGGATCTGTGTAGAAGAGGAAGGTGTAGAGGAAAGAGGAAGTGAAACACAGTGGCTTCTGGTACAGTTGCATTTGCTGAGCCGGGGGAGGGTGCATAAGTGAGCCAGTGTTTTAGGTGGGTGGTGAGCAGACCAGCTGGATGAAGCAGATACTCTTGCTTTTCCTTCTTGGTGTTTTTTGCATCTTCTGACCACTTCTCCAACCTTTAGAATTCCAAAAGGTGAGAAAGGCAGGAGAAATAATAGAACGTAATTTTTTTCTTACCATTTATTTCAATAGTAAAGGTTAATACTTCTGATTAAAATAGTTTGGAAGATAATATATCTTCTGTCTTTCCCACTGGCGAAAGATTGTCTATATGTCATTATAATAGACAGAGAATATGATATCAAGAACATACTGATGCTCACACATATTTAATGATCCTATAAAATGACTTTTAAATTTCCAGCTTCTTTATTATCAAGTCATAATCTCCATAGCTATCCTTATGATATAGCAGTCCCAAGGACAGCTTGACACGAGCCTCCCTGGTCCTTTCACCACAGGTCTCTAAGCCAAAATAATTTGGTGCCTGTGCAAAAGCAGCTTTAAGATGAGCCTGCAGGGCTGAGGGGCAGGGGTGAAGCACAGCAGTAGAGCTCCTATCTGTTATGTGCGAAGCACATACCTGGGTCTGATCCCCAGCACCAAAAAGGGGGTGGACTCCTGCAAAATCCCTCAAAAGCTTTTCTTTTACCCAATCCCCTTCTCACTTCATGCATGAGAGATGGAGTGTGTCTGCCACATATATTACATTAGAATGAAAAGGGGGAAAATATAAAGTTTCATAGGATTATTTTGGAGCCATGTGAAAATATTCCTATGTCTGGATCACACTGCTATCAACATTAGTTTTGTTGTTATTTTTGTTTGTTTGTTTGTTTTTTGAAACAAGTTCTCGCTCTATAGCTTAGGTTGGCCTTGAACTCACTGCGTAGCCCAGGCTGGCCTCAAATTCTCAGCAATTCTCCTACCTCAGCCTTCCAAGTGTGGGAGTACAGGTGCCACCATGGCCAGCTATGTTAACACTATTTCTTAAAAGAACAAAATTAACAAAAAACACTAAGCATTACTATTAATTATATAATAGTAATATATATAATAGTTGCAAAGTAGATGGCTATATATATATATAATTACACATATATATATAGCTGCAAAGTAGATGGTTATCTTTACTTTAGGAGGTGCACTATTCTATTTAAGACTGAGATGTTTTTTCAAAAGAATTCTATTACCTTATAATCTAGAATTATTGGCTATGAGAGCAGGATCCACCTGAAAAACCATACTGCAAGCACTGAAAAATTAGTGAATGCATTTTTGACCAGGAGGAAGAAGTAGAAATACAATGAAATGTTAAAATATGGATTTGACTGCCTTATACAGTTTGTTAAAACCAATATCCCACATTGACTATTTTATAGTTAGTCCATTGCATTTCAAGTAGAATGGATTAAATCAGTACCTTTAAAATGGATCTTTCATATGCAAATTAAGCATTTAATGTTATCTACTCATACTAATTTCTAAAGCTTATAAACTTCTATTAATATTTTCATTTCCTCTAACAAGTTCCCATGTTTATTTATGGCAAAACAAAATAAAAATTAGTTTTTATTTTATTTCTAAAATAAAGTTGTGTATAACAATTTTTATAAAAATTAGCATACCACTTATTCGGCTCTGCTGTCATGTATCAGTAGAAACAGGGAATAAAGAAAGCACAATGGAAATCTTTGCAACAATTCATTAGGCATTTTATTTGATTAATTATTTAAATACTATTGATTTCATCATGGTTATAAGAACTCTGAGTTATCAGTATACTGGAAAATTGACTTCTATGGTGGTAAAGGTGGGGTGTCGTCTTACTTGGTTTTGGGATTCTCCCAGGAGATTAGTAAAGCACATTTCTGAGCATGTCTGTATGGGTCATAGAGACATGACCTTGGGGTCTATGTCTGGTCCCTCATTCCTTCCTCTCTGGCACTGTTCCCCTGCTCTGCTTCCTGGCCACTTTAACCTAAGCAGTTTTGCTCTGCCATGCCCTCCACCATGATGTTTTTTGCCTTCGAGCCTGTCACCCATGAACTGAATCCCCTGAAATCATTAGCCAAATTAAACTTCTAGTCCTTTAAGTTTGTATGTGTTGAGGATTGTGTCCCAGTGACAGGAAATCTGACTAATGCAATTCTCAACCTTTTTTTTTCTTCCCAAGAGAATATAGACGAATGATATTGTGATGTAACACAAATCCCTTGTATGTTTCCCTCCTCTCTCTTCAACTCAAGAAAACATACTAAAAGATTAGGGAGTGAGAATGAAATAATGATATTGCTAAAGGGATACCTGTACATGTGACTTACTATTAATTACAAAGTTTTTTTTGTGGACTTCAAAACTGATCAAGACATGCCACTGAGAACCATTGCATGAGATCATGCACCTGCACTTCTATGGGGGAGGGCAGTGGAAAGGGAAAGAACTTACATCCCCATTCTTAGGTGGAATAGTCAACTCCAAGTACCCATGAGGAATGTAATGTTGACTGTAATCAAAGCGAGGTTTCTTCATGAGGTGATTTCTGACAGTTGAATAGGCTCCATCACTTCCTACAATGAGGTCATATGTGACATCTTTGGGAACTTTGTCAGCTCTGAAAAAAAGAATAAACCATCCAAAACCAAGCCAAAAAATCTAGTAAAAATATGATGATATACTTTACATGGGTATTAAAAGAAGTTTCTCAGTGGGTAAGCAGAAAACTCACTTTTATGTGTGTTTGAGCTCTGAGTCAATAGATATAAAATTAAAATGAAAACACTTGTCCCAGTCTCAGTTTTACTTGTGAGAATGAGAGTAATACACAACCATGCTGATTAATAAAGACTCACTAAGCCACAGAAGTGTGGCAAAGAGCTGAGCTCTCTGCATGAAGGAGGAGAAATCTTGAGAAAAGGGAAAGGTAACCCCAGTGCATGAATGAACGATACAGTCATGCAATCCAAATGTATGAATGAATGAATGAATGATCAAATGCAGGAACATGACCAGATTTTTTTTAGGAGCAACAAGTTTGGCTGAGGAAAGGATATCAGAAGATAAGCTTAAGAAAAGGATACTTACTGTCCCTTATTCTCCAGGAGGGGATCCAGGATACTCAAGTTCTTTATGTAAAATAGTATAGTGTTTGCATATAACCTGTGCACATCCTCCAGTATACTTTATCTCTAAAGTATTTATAATGCTTAATAAAATATAAATGCTATGCAAATAGTTGTTCTACTGTGTTGTCTAGAGAATAATAACAAGGAAAAAGTCTGTACATATTCAGTAAAGATGCAATTTAAAAAGTTTTGATCTGAGGTTGGCTGAATCCATGGGGAAGGACCCCACAGACGTGAATGGCTAACTGTACAATGTGTGGAGGGGAAAGAGTGAGATGAAGAAAATTTTGGATGTAAAGACAAGAGATTTAAATATATTATTCAGGAAAAAGAGAGAAAGTCAATTTTTCTATTAGAAGGACGAAGTATGAAGAGTGGTAGTTCAAGAAAACTCACTTGGCAGCTTCAGATAATAAGATGTACCTGTAATCAGGAAAATGACATTCACTGATTAGGAATCCATGTCATATCCCAAGAGTGAGATACGTGGCATGGTATTTTAGAGGAAATAGAATCAGCTAAGGAGGGACAGAGGACAGGGAAAGTTAGGCAGGGAAGGGCCACCAATTTCAAGGGAAGAGAGAGTTTGAAACTGAGTATGGTCACCTGTGTCAAACATTATGGGAAGGTGAGATAGCATGAATGTTAAGAAGAATCACAGAGGTTGGCATTCAGAAAGCACACAAGGCTAATTTTCAATCTAAAATTCCCTGAATCTAGAAACTATCTGAATTACCCTTTCCATTATCATTTATGTCTTTCAAAAGAGCTAAAGAACAAAGTTTACACATCCATTTCTCCACTCTAAGCCTTCACCTCTGAAGCCACAGCCTGACCCCTGATTACCCGAGCACCGTGATTGTTCCTTCTTCAGGATTACATTTCAACAGCCTGTGGCCAAAGTGCACCTGCACATTGGGGTGTTTCTCAACAGCTGAGGAAATAGAAAGAAGGAAAATAGAAATGAAATTCCAATGGTCATTTCACTTGATCAAGTTGAAATATTAATCATTTTCTTGGAACAGTATTATAGAGATATTTATTCTAAACAATATAAAACAAATTTGTAAAATTGAAATTTGACAGCTGTTTGGCAAATGGCCCAGTATATTTTTTAATAAAACAAAGGAATAAAAATTAGTTATCCAACTAACTACATCGTGTGAACTCTTGCACCCTTGTAATTTTTAGTATCCTTGAAAAGAAACAGGTCTCACATGTTTCAAAAGTTGCCTCTAACATAAGGCTTTATTTGCGCTTGGAAATACTCAGCTCAACTTCTTCCCTCATTTGGCATGTCTCTCTATCTCTTGTCAGCAAGCCCTCTAGATTTCCAACTCAAGTTGTCCCATGTATAGAGTAGTAATACTAAATGTTTTCAGAGTCAAACACGTAAATGGGGGGGGGGTAAGAACATTTGGAACATCTCATTCAATAAAACTAAATGATGTTAGGGCTCTTCTGTTTTGCCTGCTAGCAATTTATGGAATGGAATGAATTTCATTTCCTAAACTATTAATCACTTTACTATAGTAGTAAAAATACAATTTTTGTCCCTATTAATGGTCATGAAGATCTATAACTATAGGCTATTTATTGTTTAAGAAAAGTTACAAATCAGAATACAGGTCTTGGAGCTGGAATAGACCTTGGAGATGAGGTAGATCAAAATCTTTCATCTTACAACAGAGTGATCAAGACCCTGGAAGGAAAAGTAAAATCTCTGGGGTCACACAATGTAACAAATCAAAGACCAAACTTCTCAAGTTGTACACATTGATTATGTATTCTTTTTGTATGTTAAAAATTAAATTAAGAAATATTGAATTTGATTTGAGAAATAATTAGAGAAAATAAGGCAAGGCTTCTGAATTCTAACTCAATATTTGCAGGTGGACTTAGCTTTCCTCTTCACCTCGAGTTTCCTCTTCTTTTCTTTGTTTGACCTTGATTTTGGGTTTGAAGATTGTTGAAGTCCTGAATATGGGATTGGAAGTCTTAGAATATTGAAATGGGGGAGATGATAAGTCAAAAAACTTAGATATATATAAGAAATCTTTTTACAAAGAACTTTCCAGAAATCAGTTTAACTGTCACACTAGGTGTATTTTTTTTACAATAAACTTTTAAACTAATTTACTTTTTTGCTTAAGTGTATACTTTTACACCCCAAAGTGTTTTCCACAAATGTTATTCTTTGATATGCTCAATTAAAAAACTGTCCTGTGGTCAAACAGGGGGATAGAGAGATAGAAATACTGAATATCCTGGCTCCCTTGAGCTCTGGGATCCTGGTCCCCAGCCACAGGTGGCTGTCGAGTGCTTAGAAATTTGCTAATCTGATCAACATGTGGGGCACACTTCGGATTTTAACAACTTTGAGCAAACTTATATACATATGAAACATAAAATATATCATGAATAACTTTATTGGCCACACATTGAAACAGCAATAGTTTGGATATATTAGGTTCCTATACCTCATTAAAATTTACATCCCTCTTTTTTAGTTTTTTTTAAACATGATTAACATAAAATTGAAAATTACACATGTGGCTGGTATTTGTGGCCTCATATTGGACAATGCTGCTTTTAAAAGGCCCACAATGCAGACTAGTATAAAGGTCTTGGGAAGTATTGGAAAAAGATTTTCCCTTTTTTATTGCTCTCAATTTTTATCCTTTATTAGCTCTTGTGTGTGGTTCATGATGATCACATTCTTTGTGAGGAGTGGGTATGTGTGCATAACACATCTTAATGTTTTTCACCCCATTTCCCTCTGCTCCCAAACTGGTTTGATGCAGGGTTACCAAACTTCTTTGGCCACATATCCTTTTTGGACTTGTTTTCTTTAACAAGTATCAACATTGTATGGAATAGTGAACCATGAACAATTCTACACTAAATGCTCATGCAGGGATATAATTTAGTTAATGTGTTTTCCAAGGGGAATTTGTCTAGAAGGAAATAAGCATTTAAAATTGGCTGAATCTGTGGAATGAGTGACTCACACATTTTCTGGCTTGTAAAGGAATGATGGACTTTATACGTCAAACAAAGTTTTAGTCAAGAGATTCAGCATTCATTTTATTAACATATTTATATCTTTCATGAAATTGTGTGCTGTGTAGCATAAATGGACAACAGTTAAGGGAATCTGTACAACACTAATTATACTTTTCTTATGTTTTAGCTCCTTAGTATTAGCAGGTGTTTCATACATAATTTTGGAGGCAAAAACCAAGTGGTTAAAAGCACAGACTTTGGAATAAAGAGACTTAAATTCAAATCTGATTCTACATTATTAATAGTGTAATCTAAGTTCTCTAAGTATCCAGTAACCCTAAACCTGACATGAAAATAATTCCCACTTCACATAGTTGTCAGGAGGGTTCTGTAAATCAACACAGGTAAGCTACTTCTCATAGTGCCTGGTCCTCAGCTGAATGTTTACTACGATTTTTACCTTAGATGCTGTATAAAGAAATTGTTTTATATGCCATACTACAGACCTGAAAGCTGGCTTGTGTAATTTGTTTTTTTAGGAATAACATGAATACATCTAGCAAACTGGTCCCCACTCCTGGATCTAGCTATGTAAAAGACAGTCTTCCAAATATAACTATAAAAAAATGGAAGTAAGAATAATTTGAAGCCCTATTTCCTATGTCCTCAGTAAATCAGCTAGTGTGACTTTCCCACTACCTCCTCCTCTCATTTCTACCCAATTTGTTCAATTCAGTTCAACTGAACTCAATTCAGTTCAATCTGGCTGGCATACTGCAAACTTGGTGAGGGGCTGTGGGGAAACAAAGATGAATCATGTGGAAGCAGCACTGTCCAAAGACCAGAGCTGCAGAGCTACATCAAGAGGGGTTGGCTTAAAAGCTAGAACTACTCGAAAAGCATGCTTCCCTGCCAATGAGCCTGTTTAGTACAAATGCTGAAGAGAGGGAATTAGTATGAACTAGGATTAAATTTAGTGTAGGCTGAAAGGCACATGGCATGTAATTGGTTATGCAAACTACAAATTTAATTTACAGTCCATTGGCTTTTCCATTAATGTGTAGGTATTTTTAGTTATTCAGGGTTATATTTTATACCCTCCTCTTTTTCAAACCTCTCAACTCCTATATATTTGGCCTCCTGCACATATTACGAACCTACACACTCCTCTCCTACCATGTTGCTATAACCTTATCCAGGGCCCCGTTTTTGCACATGGGGATTATGACAGTGCCCTGTAGATGGCAACTCTCTCTCGCCCTCCATGCTACTGCTGCTCATCTTTCTGAAACGTACATCTGATTGTTGCTTTGCAAATTGTTTGACCATATCTGTTTTTCCACTAGACTGTGAGTTCATCAAGTGAATACACATTCATTCCAGTGCCAAAGATATAAGAGGCATTCAATACATGCCTGACAAACATGTGATTTTCATTTAGATAACTGATAAGGTGAAAAAAAGGATACAAGAGGTGGCATTACTGCTGCTCACAGGCTTTGTAATGTACATAGTTCTACTCTTTATAACCCCCAAAAGGAACAGTAAGCAAATCCCAATAAATCATGCAATAAGATGAGTCCCATGTGCTTTACTCAAACTTATGAATAAAAGCATTGGACTTACCATTTAATAAATCCTTGTTCAAGTTTTCTCTGCTTATAGAAAGAATATACTGCAAGAAAAATAGATCAGACATTGTTTCTGGAGAATGGACAGGCAATCCTAATATACTCAGTAGCAGGAGTTATTTATTACTTAACAGAGTGTTGCAAGCTTAGTTTTTTGTTTCTTTGACTTTTATTGGTATATGTTTGCAATATTTAAAAATTACTTTTATTTAGGGCAATTGGTACATACACACATCACAATTGATCATTTTGTATTTTCTCCTTCATCCCCGAAAAGTCTACCTCCCTGTTTTCTACCATCTCTTCTTTATTTTACTCTTTAATTATTTATAGTGTGGATTTCTTATATAAGAGAAACTGGAATATTATTCCTCTGTATCTGATTTATTTCACTTAACATTAATGCCTCAAGATCCATCTATTTTCCTACAAATGATTCAAATTTATCTTTCTTTATGGCTGAGTAATACTCCATTGTATATTTATACCACATTTTCTTTACTCATTCATCTGTTTATGGACATCTAGGCTCTTTCTATAATTAAGCTATTGTGAATTGCACTGTTTTAAACATGGTATGCATGTATCATTGTAATATGATGTCTACAACTCTTTCAGGAAGATATCCAAGAGAAATATAGCCAGATCAAATGGAATTTCTATTTTTAGTTTTTTTAGGACTCTCTATACTGATTTTCATAGTGGTTGTACTAGTTTACATTCCCTCCAACGGTATAGGACTTTCCCCCCACACCCTTGCCAGTGTTTGTTATTTTCTGAGTTCTTTGACTGCACTAAAAATGTAAGGATGCAAAAACTGAAGAATGGGGGTGGATGTAAATTTAGTATGAACTCACTCAGTTCTTAACTGAGAAATAGCAAGAGCACTGGGGGGAAAGCAATTTCCTCCCTTTGTAATGTGGTGAAGGCTACCAGATGGGGAATTTCCAACAAGAATCCCCTCCCTCCCTCCCTCCCTCCCTTTTTCACACACACACTCACACACACACACACACAAACAGATTAATGTGGGTGAAGAAGCCACTTTTGGTTCTTAAATCCAAGTTGAAGGACCCTAGTTAGCAAGACAGACTCCATATTGCTGCTGAATGACCCACCTGCCTGCCCTTTAGATGAACTCAGAAGGAGGAAGCTTAGAAACCTCCTCCCCTTAGAGAGTCTCTTAGAAACAATTAATCAACTATTATTTTACAAATGTTCTAACGACAGGACATTCTGCTTCTGTACCTTTTTTTTGCTTTGCTATTTTTATCCCATGGGGGGCCTAGAAACTGCTGGCCTCAAAGGTGTATAAAACATGTTTGTCAACCCCCAGTCGATGCCCGAGTCCGACGCTCGGCTCGGGTCCCGGCCGGTAATAAACTTCTGTGTGGATTTAATATCGCTCTCTGGTTGGTTCTCTCTCGCTGGGTGTAACACAAGTTACTTTCCTCATCTAGCTCCCTTAGTATTTGAACAATATTTTCTATCAATGTGTGACTGACTCAAGGCCTGAAGAGGGTTTCAATGTGATGATTTGGTTTTCCTCAGCACATTCCATGATTGTTATGAGTCACTCTCAATTTAGTACAAGAGAACAACACAACTATAAGTTGTGCAGTGCAGGCCTCCAGGAACACTCTCAAGCTACCTGAGAGGAAACCTACTTTATTTCCCCTGATGTTCCCCATGCAACTCTTAGAGCCTATGACCTAAATCTCATTTTCTCCGTGAGAACTCTGAAAATTGAAACTCTCATCCCTCTTTGAGCCACTGTAGTATTTCTTGACTGCACCACTCAACTGAAGACTTCTCCTAATGAACTTGAAGATTGGCTAATACTTAATCTGCGTGTGTAAACTTGACTTGCCTATGAAGAAGAGATGGCTCTTTGATCCTTCCTATAGCACCTAGATCAATCTGGAACCAATTTAATGGAATATGCCAAATTTACCTCATGAAGGATGGCTAAGTCAACTTTTCTTCCTTCCCCTGTGAAGCTCATGTGTGAATTAAGGCTCAGAACCTATGTTCATATAATGGCAAAACAAGCAGTTTACTATTTTTCACAAAGCCATTAATTGAAAATTTTGATCCTGCTTCTGTTCCAAAGTCCTTGGTTGTTGAAATGTTTTACTATTTAGCCACATTTGTCATTGCAAGACCTACAAAGACTTTGTTGTCATGAATATATACGTGTTTTACCTCTTGCTAATCAAAGTGTGGTCAGAGGACCACCCTGGAGTTTGTTAGAGAACCAGGCCCTCCACCTCCACCCAGCCTGGCTGAGCTACATTCTGCATTTCAGCAAGTTCTCAGGTGAATCTGAGAAACGCTGATCTACCTGCAATGAGAGCTCTGTTCACAATATGAACCTCACTTAGGCTCTGCGCTTCATAAAGGACTTCCGGATAAAAACAAAGTGATTTGGAATTTGCTACTTGTTGATGGATGTTTAGTGCCTTCATTCTATCTCAAGTAAAAAACTCAGCAGGTATAATTAGTTGAAAGTACATATTTTCCCAGTTATGTTTGCTACTATGTGAGAGATAAGAAAAACACAAAATTGGATAATGACTTTTGTTCCATAATCGCCACCTGCTGCATTCTATACATACTATTATAAGCAAATTTGGGGCAAGAGGGTTAGTTAGGGGAAGGCAATGACACCACAAAACCCCTCAGAGTGGTTGCTGTACATTACATGTGACAACAAATAACATGGTAATTTTCTCCAGCTGAAAAGGAGCTGGGAGGGAAAGGGCATCCCAAACAGCTGGACAGCAGGAGCAAAGCACAGAGGCAAGAAATGGCTTCATCATGAAAACAGTAATAACAGCTAACTCTGTTTAATGTGTGTTATGATCTGAGCCCTGTTTTGAACACAGTCTACGAATTAACTTGCTAACTGATACATGTGAGCCAGGCAATGTCAAAGGTAGGGCTAGGGAGGAAAGGAGGCACCAGCAAGCCAGTTACAATTCCAGACATCAGATTTACTTATAATCATTTCACAAACCACTATCTCCAGGGTAAACCTACCTGATCCTTTGTTCCATAGGGAAGTGCAGATTTTTTTCCTGAAAGAGAGTGAATCATTCTTGCTCTCATGGGAATACCTTGGGATACAATCTGAAATGAAATTGGAAAAAAATTATTTCAATTACCATAACCTGATTCTGTAAATAAGATAACTATTGGCTTTAAAATGTGATTTTCAATGGGACAGGTATTTGCTGAAGAATCTCTCTTGTTTCAGGGTCATGTGGATGTTGGGCTTCGTTTTTGGCACACAATATGAAAATAACTTAGATCACCATTTTAGATCCTAAATTGTACTTCTAATGATACTCAGCAGAGGAGTCTGTCCAGCATGTCTTCAGGCCAAAGTGTCCGGTGATGTGACATCCTCTGGGAAATAGTACAGTGTTGCTATATGGATTTTTAAAAATATAACCCTTGCATGTTACTGCTGTAGTGTACATTTTTGAGGCAGTTGTGAAACTTGTCTGTGATTATTGTGTGCTGTCTTATAAATTCACAGAGAGCTTGTCAGACTTGATTTTCTAAACCCATTGTTTTCAGAGTGATTATTTTAAATTAAAATTTGTTTCTTTTTTTTTTTTTTTCATACCAGGGATCGAATTCAGGACCTTGTGCTTGTGAGGCAGGCGCAGTGCCACTGAGCTAATTCCCCAGCTAAATTAAAATCTGTAACACCACTGAATACATAAATAAAAATAAATAAAACGTGATTTTCAAATATTTTCCAAAAAATTTTTTTAAAACTGTAAAAAAATCCTCTAAACTTAGTATGGTGAGAATTCATTCAATTAAAAGAGTGTTCCTGACATTTTTAGGTTTTTCTTTTTTAAACCTTAGACTTTGAAATTGATTTAATGTTTATCTAACCTAAACCAGTTTCACAAATTAGAGGAAGTGGTTAATTGCTAGAGGGGGAAAGTGCTTTTTCTCAGATTGACGAAAAGGGGCACCACTTTTGTTTACATTTTCAAGCTACATGACAGTGCAAAGTCCTATAACATTAAGCCAAAATGAGGAAAATCTATCAATGGTACATGACCCCTTATCCAAACCCGAGGGGCTTGATGGCTTCAAAGTTCAGAATTTTTCAAATTTTAGGATGGAAGTATAGTACATAAATGATAACTACCACATAACACCAGGAGGTCTATGGTACTACCTCGCAATCAAAAATAGTATTTTGTGAGCAAAACACACTTATACTGAATGAAATTAAAAAAAAATAGGGGCTGGGGACTTAGCTCATTGGTTCCACCGCCTGCCTCACAAGCACAAGGTCCTGAGTTCAATCCCTGGTACCAAACAAAAACAAAAACAAAAAAAGAAAGAATAATGGAATAAAAAAAAAAATAGACCATGAAAAAAATCTCATGTCAGTTCAAGTTTTGGTGACAAATGAGTGGTGAAAAGCTTTCTATTTTCAGAGAATTTCTGGACTAGAGATATGAATAGAACATTATTGCCCCATGTAAGAAAAAGCAGGAAGTTTGTCTCCTTTTTCTCATCCTGTATGCCCTCGTGACCTCCTCTTTCCATAGGTAGAGATCTGCCGTCCCATGTGAACCCGCCATCAGAAGTGATCATGGTGGGGTTTGTAGTCTCCTCCTCTGTGATCTCAAGTCCCCCTGGTGCAGTAACAAATGTGTATCCTCTTGTCAAATTTTGAATTTTGAAAGCCTTTGTGGAATAATTTTTTGTGCAGAGGTCCTTGGCATTAAATAGTGCTTCAGACCAGGATAAAATCTAGACCACAAAATTGTTAAAAATCATCAGATATTATCTCCTATAAGGAAAATGCATTAGCAAAGTACCTGATCTTCCAGATCAATGGCTTTTAAAGCTTGTCGTCCTCTATAAGAAAGGGCCAAGTTAATGCTTCTTCCGCGTGCGGTTTTAGCCATTCGGATATCTAAGACATTGGAAGTGGACCCTATGTTAGAAACAACCCCTTATATTCTAGCACAGCATGAACATACTACTGTTGCATCAGAACTATATAAAGAGACTCATTACCTCTTCTAAAGAAGACACTAATAGTAAATTAGTATTAAATTAACATTTAGATCACTGAGGGTTTTTTTTTTTTTTTTAATCACTCATTTCTTTTTTTTTGGTACTGGGGATCAAACTCGGGTCCTTGTGCTTGCAAGGCAGGCGGCAGAACCACTGAGCTAAATCCCTGGCCCATGTTTTTCATTTCTTATTAAAATATTTTATTCAGAAAATCTGAGAAAGATGTCAAAAAATCAGAATCACATTTCACAATCTTTACCATTGGCTTACCTTCCCTAGCTTCATATAAATCAACTTGGACATTCCTCTTTGCAAGGAAGCATGCATTTAATGCTCCAACCTAGGAATCAAAACAATTTTTTTTCCACATGCTCATCTGATTCCACACATACAGGGAACTTTTCATGGCAAAATTGAATATTGTCTGTGGCTGTATGTTACTAGAATCTTTTGTCACACTGATTTACTTAGTCACTGCTGGAGAGTATCAGCTATAAAAATAGTAAGATTAATACAAGATTAAGTGGTATAATTTTAGAAATAGTTTTGGTTTCCTTGGTTTCTGCCTCCTCCCCCCTTGTATTATAGATTGAACGCAGGAGAATTCTGCCACTGAACTACATCACCAGCCCTTTTTGAATTTTGTTTTGAGACAGTATTTCACTAAACTGTCCAGTTTGACTTCAAATTTGTGATCCTCTTCTCTCAGACTGTTCAGTAACTGGGATTATATGTGCCACCACTCCCAGATTTCTTTTCTGGTTTTCAACTTTTTAAATAGCGAGATATAACTTTTTTACAGAAAGAACATAAAACATATGTACAGTTTACAGAATAATTAGAAAGTAAATCTTTATAACATTACAACCCTAATAATCACTATTCAGGTCAAAAAGTAAAACATTGCCAGTTCACTCATACACTCCTACCTTCACCCAATTAGAGAACCCTACTTCTCACCGAGAGTAAACATTATTCTGACTTTTGTGTGAGGTGAACGTGATAACCACTACACTACAGAAACTATTCTGACTTTTGTGATAACCCATCCTTGCTTATTCATAGTTTGCCACTTAGGTACATATCTCTAAGCAATCTAGTTCAAATTTGGCCATTTTTGAAGAATATATATAATTTAAAAATACATGTGTGTGTATTTTCCTAAGTAACTTATTTCACTTTTGGCCATTTTTGAGCCATACATAAAATCTAAATATATACATAATTTTTTCATCTTGCTTCTTTACCACATTGCATTTATGAGATTTATTCATATGATCACATGTAAACATCAAGTCATCCATTTTCATTATGATATGATTCTTCATTGCATGAAATATCACAAATTATCCCTCCTACTGTCTAAGAACATATGAGCTGTTCCTGGTGTAAGAACATAACTAACAATGTATTTCAAAACACATTTTTGTACTTGTGTTCTTGCACATGTGTGATGACTTTTCTCTAGAGTTTATACATGTAAGTGGAGTCTCTGGTCAGTTTATGTACTCTTCACCTTTATGCCAAAAGGTTTCAAAATTCCCTACCCATGGCTTCTTTGACAATACTTGGTGTTTCAAAGTTTTTAATGCTGTGGCAGGAGAGCTGGTAAAGTAGAGAGAAGTGGGGTTTTAAGTTGCATGCTCCTGTTACGTCCGGTAGGCAGCTCGCCACGCCACGCCATGCCACTGCTGTGCTGAAAATGCAGCTCCCAGCGATCCTAAACCTGGCACCAGTAAAGAACTAAAAAGAGGCAAAGTTTAGTATAACAAAAGATGGTTTATTTGGGGGGAAAGGTGGAAAAGAAAGAGAATAGACAGCTACCATGAGGGGGTAGGGGCTTTAGGGCTGAAAGCCCAGGAGCTCTTATTGTTGGCCCCTTTTACTGGGCACTAGTGTCTTTCCCGTCCCCAGGTGGGCTTTTGTCACAGTGTCATTTGTCCTAATCTAGGCATGTCTGCCTATATTCCTTTTGACCATTTGGGATTTGGGTTTGTTTTTTTTTTGTCCTTTTGTAATGAATAAGCGAAGGGGGAGGGCCTATTAGGAAGGCAGCTTCCTTAATGATTAAGTAAGCTCACTGAATGATTAATGTCGAGTTAAATAGGATCATATCCGACAAACCAGAAATTCTTCACACTTCTACCCAAGAGATTGCTCTGTGTGCCCCAGGAGGCATGTGCAAGGATGTTCAGAGAAACTCTTTTCACAACTAAATAAACAAACATTTGACAAATGGCTGAAATGGTCACTATCAAGGAAGAACAAATAAACTGTGGCAACTTCACATAATAAAATGGAATAATATGAATATATTAGGACCATTTTAAGTGAAAAGATGATTTCATACTGCATGAAACTCTTATAAAGACAATAAAACTAAACCAGGTGCATACATAATTTAAAAACATATGTATTATTTATATATATGATGAGTATATGTCATTTATATGATTAAATTACAGGAATGACAAAAATATGTGGGGAATTGCTCTTAATAAGTGGGGAGAAGGACAGAGTTTGATGGAAATCACTGGAATGCATTAATAGTTGTGGGAAGTGGTGGGTTCACAGTTGCCTATGCATCTGGGAAGCAAAAAGAGGAAGAGGAAGGGGTTGGGAGTCCCTTAATCCCCTCTGAGGTCAAAGTTCCAATAACCTAGCAATTTCTCACTAGGCCCTGCTGTTAAATATGCCACCACCTTCGAATAGCACCAAGCTGAGCATGCAGCATTTAACACACAGACGTTGGGAGACATTCCAAATTCCATGTTCCACAAGCTTTGTCCTCTTTCTGAATTTCATATCTTGAAAACTAGAACCTCCACCCACTGATTCACCCACCAAAATAGCTTGGATAAAAATAGACAGCCCTTTCTACCCACAATTTGCACTTAATTAGGCGACAAAGTCTATTGTTTCTCCTGCATCTCTGTCAAAACAGACCTCTTCTTTCCCAGTCACCTACTTGCATGGGGCCCTTGACGCCTTTTACCAGCTCCACTGCAGCGGTTTCCTCAGGGCCCTCTCTTTCCCCAGTCTCTATCTACTCAAGCCACAGACTGCACTTGAACTAGTCATCTTTAGAAGAGAAGCTGGATAACATTTTCATCTTAACGTACTTTACTGACTCTTTTTAAGTCTTCAGGACAAAAATCCCAAATTTTCAACACGACAAAATAGATTCCTGCACGTGACCCTAACCTCTTTCTTCAGCTCATCGTTTTGCTATTCTCATAAACTACCTGTAATAAGTACCAAAATTACTTCATATTTCCTTAAATATGTATTAATTATAGCATACTGTATATTTACTTTCATGAGTTCTTTAAAAAATGAACATTATACTAGTAATATATTTCTGTCAGCTAATATCTTTAAAATAATAATTTCATTACATTTAATTGCATGCAATGTACTTATGTTTGAATATTCAAGTTATTTTTAGCATTATATATAATCATATGGTACATATTCATTATTTTTGTTATAATCCCAGTAAGGAGATGATCCACTAAATGGCAATCTAGTGAATGGGACAAAATCTTAGCAAATCCTGAAATCCATACCCTCTTTCTACCTGACTCATTGGCTCCTGGGCCTTATCACCAAGGAGAAATGGAATGAGGCTAATAGGAGAATAAGGCTACCAGAGAAAGGGAATCTAAAATAAGGTAGGGAGAGAATTCTGACAGCCTGGGACAGAGAGACTCTTTTTGATCTTCCTTTGTTTCATTTTTAGAATAGCTTCAAAGTACATAAAAATGATTTTTAAAGGGCCCCGGGGCAAGGTTGTTTGGAAGGTTTTGTTCGGAATTTTGAATACATTTTGGACTGGTGGTTTGTAGAGACCATATAAAAGGCCTGACTGCTTTTAACTCCTCAGTTGAAGGACAGTTGTTTCTCTCAATACAATTCCATGCTGAGGCTGACTTAACAGCAATTTAGATTGCCATAAACAGTGTGTGAGTGCTCTTTTCTTTTTGAGTGAACAGAGGAGTGGATGGATGAATGGGTGAATATGGGCAGAGGGGCAAATAATTTAACAGTGTTTTAAGGGAGGATGGGCCAAGTAAAAATGAAGGAAAAACATAGTCTTTGTAGCCAGTTAACACACTCTGGACTGCCTGAAGTTGGTTCCATCCCAGATACTACTCAACCAGGTAGCAAATGAAGAAAATTCTGGGAAATGAGTTCTCTGTTCATAGATTAGAGTGAGATTTATGAAGTACTTCCAGAATCTCTACCAGGTTAGTAAAAATATGTTGGAATATCAGACAAGACCATTAGAGAAGTACAGATATAAAGCACGACAGCTGAAACAAAGTTTGATGAGAGGAATTGGAGTGTCAGCAACTGTACAAAAGGGATTGAGGAAGGGTAGCAGAGTGAGATCAAACTGTGTCCCTTGACACTGAGCAAAGGCAGAATGACTTTCATGGCCACACAAAAGTCCACTGGCCCTCTCTTTTCAGAAGGCCTTAAATATGGGTCTATAATGAGGGATTTTCACATATAAGAAGGTTCAGAGCCTAACGAAAAGAAAGCAAGGGTGAATACAGATTTGCTTACTTTAATACTAATGAAATAATCAAGGCTAACAGTAATTATGTCCTTTACAGGGTGACTCTCATGAATATCTGCAAAAAGAAAGTGTACCTGAACCAAATGACATGCTATGTAGACCTCAACCCAAGATTCTAAGACATTTGGGTGGAGGATATTTACTTTGGAGGAAGTGAAAATTCTGAGTGACATTTGATTTCTGTTTTTAGAAAGGTCTAGGTTGAGAAAAAAAAGCTAGAGGCCTATGAATGAGAAAGTGTAAAAAGGAAGCGGAAGTGTAGGGTTAAAAGACGCAGGGATCTAGTTTTAGACCAAGAGAAAAAAATCGAGACCCACAGAGAGTAACCTTTCTGAGCTTCCAACTGGCTGCAGACTCTCTTCTACCCAGTCTCCTGCTGTCTAATGCTGCTGTTTAAGTCAAGTGGAGAGAGAGTGGTGAGGTGGGAAGATCTTTTGGAGACAGGGCAGAAAAACCATCTGGCACCACATTGGCATCCATACCACCTCAAGCCTGTAAATCCATGCCACACTCAACATCACCCATATCTGTGAGACACAAACTCTCAGAATCAAAGCTGTGCAATCAAATCAAAATGGAAGGCATGAGCATTAAGTGATTCCATGATGAAGAGTTCAGGTGTCATCTAGGGAGAAATCCATGAGTAACTTCACATTTTTGTGTCTTCCCAAATCATATATCCTGTCACATATTTGTCATCTCCTCCTTGGATTCTAAGACATTTTTAAGAGATATCATTGCTACCATCTTTGTTG